CCGACACACACACACACACACACACACACACACACACACACACACACACACACACACACACACACACACACACACACACACGTCCTCCACTGCGTGTAGATTGTGAACGAGGCTGCCAAGTACCGCTTCCGCTCCGGCAACCAGTTTGACTGCGGCAAGCTGACCATTCGCTCCCCATATGGGTGCGTTGGCCACGGTGCCCTGTACCACTCCCAGAGCCCCGAGGCGCTCTTTGCACACGTTCCCGGCCTCAAAGTCGTCATCCCTCGCAGGTGCGCCCAAGTGCTGTCTCTCTGTTTGTTTGTTTGTTTGTGTTTGTGTGTGTGTGTGTGTGCGTGCGTGTGTGTGTGTGCGTGTCTGTATGTGAATGTAACTGTGAACGTCTGCATGTTTCTACGGGTGTGCGTGTTGTGTGTGAAACAGGAGTTGAACGTCATGTGTGTTTGATGCAACAGCCACGCTGTTGAGTACTGCACCTGCCCATTGCATTTCACGCTGCTCCTTGCATATTCGACCTCGATCCAGCCCTATCCAAGCCAAGGGTCTGCTGCTCGCCAGCGTCAACGACGACAACCCGGTCATCTTCTTCGAGCCAAAGTTCATGTACCGCTCAGCCGGTGAGACACACCTGCTTGCTGGCGTGACATGTCGTTCCGGCCCGCCTTGCATGTCTGCACTTTACACGCACACACGCACACAAGCACACACACACACTCACACACTCACACACACACACACACACACACACACACACTCGCACTCTGTCTCTCTTACACGCACACCATGGGCGACTGGTGCTGGCAGTTGAGGAGGTTCCTGTTGAGCACTATGAACTGCCGCTCGGGTCAGCAGAGGTCGTCAGGGAAGGTGCGCGCCCACTTTCTAGTGACGCAGTCGTGCAGTGTAGTGTTGTGTAGTGCAGTTCGATGAATGGGGATGATGGAGGATGGTGCAGCAGAGGCACTGAAGCAGCTACCCATACACACACACACACACACACACACACACACACACACACACACACACACACACACATGCCTGCAGGCACGGATGTGACGGTGGTTGGGTACGGTTCTCAGTTCCACATTCTGCGGGCGGCGTGCGACATGGCCAAGGAGAAGCTTGGCGTCTCGTGTGAGCTGATTGATCTCCGCACCATCTACCCCTGGGACGAGCAAACCATCACAGAGGTCCGCATCTGCTGCCGTGTGTTTGGTTGGTTCGTTGGTTCGTTTGGGCTGTTTGCTTGTGTGTCTGTATGTGTGATATGTGCAGTTTCCTGCCTCCCCAGCACAAACTCCACCTCACTTGTGTGTGCTCATCATCTTCACATGCGTGTGCGCGCGTGTGTGTGTGCAGTCTGTGAAGAAGACGGGCCGCCTGGTGATTGCGCACGAAGCGCCCGTCAGCAACGGCATGGCCGGCGAGATCGCCGCCACCGTCCAGGTCCGCCTATGATGGTGGTGGTGGTGGTGGTGGTGGTGGTGGTGGTGGCTGTGGCTGTGGTGGTGGTGGTGGTGGTGGGGTTGGTTCAGGACTCATGTGTTGTTTGTTTTGACTGTCCTGTGTCATTGTGCGCCAACTCACCTTCAAACACACACACACGCATACATACATACATGCACATGCACACCGCAGGAGAAGTGCTTCCTGCATCTTGAGGCGCCGGTGCGTCGCGTGTGCGGGTGGGACACGCCGTTCCCGCTCGTGTATGAGCCGTACTACGTCCCAGACAAGTTCCGCTGCTTCGAGGCAATCAAGAAGACAATCGAGTACTGATCTGATCATCTTGCAACCAACGCTTTGCGTGCATGCACGCACGTGCACATGTGTTGCTCTTGCAGCTCTGTACCGTTGTACTCTTCTCTGTTGGTGTTTCCTGAGTGAATCCATTGCTCCATCATTTCAGTTTCGTGCCATCACTCACCTGCTGGCTTGCAAAGTTGTTTCGTTTTGAAGAGGAAGAAGAACACAACAAAACAGCAGAGCTGCGTGCGTGAGATGCTTTGCATGTGCGTGTGCGAGTGCGCGTGATGCGCGCGTGTGTTTGCATGTGCGCGTGTTTGCCACGTCAAGACCATGATTTCGGCTGTTTATACGGCACACACGCACAAGCAAGAGCATCAAACACGTGAGGAATGAAACGCACAGATGCAAAGCACACGAAGCTAGGTGGAGCAAGTAAGCTATGAGGTCACATACAAACAACAAAACACATGGAAAGATGCAAAAGAGGGGGGGGGGACGGGGATAACGTTTCCAGCAACAACCAGCAGGTAGAGAAGACACCAGTTCTGTGTGAACATGAAGTGGGAAAGGGGCTATGCAAGCGCCAAATGGTGAGCAACGTGCAAGCAAGCAAGCAAACAAGCAAGTAAGCAAGCGGCACCAGCATGACTGACTAAACATGACCAACACACAAGCAGGACATGAGCACATGTAAGACGCCATGGCGTGGTTGTGGTGTCAGTGCGCCCGCCTAGATGGTGGTGTGTGAGGGCTTTGTGTCCTTGCAGTCCTTGGCCGCGTCAGCTGCGTGTGCAGTGCCGTTGGGGGCGGTGGGCACCGGCGAGAGAGACAGCGCTGCTGTGGAAGCGTCGAGCGAGGCGAGCGGCGTGCGTGCCAGGTGCTTCTCTGCGGCCACGGACCCCGGGCTGGACATGGCTGACTGCGACTCGAGGTACTCGGGGGAGATGCGGTTGCCAGCGAGATACGCGTCCAGTATGCCCGATGCCGCCAGCACAAAGCCTGAGCAGTCGTGGTGGTGGTGGTGACGATGAGGGACAAGTGTGAGCGAAGAGGCACGAGAGTACGGATGACAACGTATTGGTACACAGCATGTGGGGGGGGGGTTGTGTAGTTGGTGACACAGGGTGTGATTGGCAACATGGCAAAGGGTGTAGTGGTGGCTTCGCCAGGTGGAATGGCGGCGTGAGAGCAGCACAGCGCAACTGACCGAGGAAAGGCGGGGACGGCCGAAGCGGACGGGAGAGAAACTCCGGGTGGTACTGCACAGCAACGAAGAAGGGGTGATCGGGCAGCTCAAGAATCTCCATGCGTTTGCCGTCGACGTCGTGGCCAACAAACCGCAGGCCGTGGCCCTCAATCTCCTCCACCAAGTCCGGGTTGACCTCGTAGCGGTGGCGGTGCCGCTCCTCAACATAGTCCACGTTGTTGTACAGCTTCCCTGCCGTATTGTGTTGTGTTGTGGTTTGTGGTGAGGTGTTGCGTTTGGGGGCGGGGGAGCGGGGCGGGGGAGGAGGGGGAGAGGGACGGTGGGAAAGCGAAGATGCGGCAGTGTGACACGCAACACGCCAACTTAGCACACACACACACACACACACACACACACACACACACACACACACACACACACACACACACACACACACACGACGGACGGTACGTAGTAGTAGTACGTACGTACGAACTATTGGGAAAAATCGACTTGTGAATATCCTTATGTCACCACCCCGTCTGACCGGGCGCTTAGTTATACAGCGTGTGGACAATGGCAATCGCTTCTGCGGATCGTGGATTGAAGCGGCGTCAAACACAACCCCTGCACGTACTTCCGGATGCAGATGCTGAAGTGGTTGCTGCTTCTTCTGCGAGTCATGCAGTGCATGCGTACACGAGAAGTGAGGGGAACGTAACGAGGCTCGCTTGCTTGGTCGCTCGCTTGCCTGGCGACATTGCCCACGGGTGCGGCAATCACATGTCCACATAACATGTCCACACACACACACATGTACAGATGTACACACATGTACACACATGTACACACACATACATACACACACATGTCCACACACACACACATGTACACGCACGCACACACACACACACACACACACACACACACACACACACACACACACACACACACGGGGTACGGATGTGTATGCATTGACACAAACAAAACCAAGCACAGCCAACAAGCAGCAGCAGCAGCGGCAGCAGCACCAGTGCCATCGACATGACTATCGGAGATGTACAACTCACGTGTCAGGCAGTCTGGCTTGACAAAGACGGTGCGCCGGCGGCCAAGACGCATGGTGCCGCCCATCTGCTCGGGGGTGTGCTCCGGCATGTCAATCACAACCTTGTGCTCGCACGTCGGCGCAATCTCCGTCGTGTTGGCATCCTTCCACCCAATCACATTGCGGCAAAACTCTGTCGTAATGCAGGATGTGTGTGTGTGTGTGTGTGTGTGTGTGTGCGTGTGCGCGCGTGGATACGAGTGTGAGAGAAGAAACCGGCTACAACCTGAATGCCACCGCGCATCACGACTCACTCGATACAAGGCATTCAAAACCACCACCGCGAGCTGCCCCTGTCTCGATTGCACGTACCGATGACAGCGACCTGCAGACCAAGGCAGATGCCGAGATATGGAATCTCCTTGGTGCGTGCCCAGTTGACAGCAGCAATCTTTCCCTCAATGCCACGAGAGCCAAACCCGCCGGGAACAAGAATACCCTCTGCCGAGCACAGCGTCTGCCAGGCGCGGTGAAAGGCGACAGGGTCCTTGTGCAGCACATCCTCCTCGAGCGCAGACGCCTCCACAAACTGCACGCACCCCATCATGATGTGCGAATATGCGTGTACGTGAGTGAGAGAAAACGTTGTTTTTTTGTTTTGTTGGGGTGGGGGAGCGGGGAGAACAGATGTCAATCAGACAGGAGAGCAACGAGCAAGCACACACGAGGAAACAATAGCGTTCAATACAAACACATAATCACACACAATCACACACAATCACACACAGACACACAGTCACACACACACACACACAGTCACGTGTGCGCGCGCAAACGCACCTCAAGGTCGAGTTGGCGGCCAGCGTACACGCAGCTGTGCTGGAGCGACTTGATGACGGAGAGATACGCGTCGCCAAGGCCAGTGTACTTGCCCACAAGCACAATGCGCACTTTCTCCCGCACAAACTTGCAGCGGTCCGCCAGCCAGCGCCACTTGCGCAAAGGCTCGTCAATTTGGGGTGGGGGCAGCTTGAATTTTTCCCACATGCAGTCCATCAGGCCTTGCTCCAGCAGCACGAGCGGCACGCGGTAGATGGAATCAACATCCGGAACAGCAACAACCTAAAGTGTTCAAGGGTAAATCAGTCAGGAGCAATTGGAGGGCGTCTGATGCTGACAGAAAAGAAACATGCAAGCAGGCAGAGCGAGCAGAAAAGCATGCATGGGCACACACACACACACACACACACACACACACACACATTCACATCCACCCATCCACATACACACCCACACCCATCCACATACACACCCACACTCACACACACCCACCCACCCACTCACACACACTCACACACACACACGTGTGCTTTGCACCTGGTTCTCGGGGACGTGGCAGAACATTGCAATCTTCTTGCTGATGCCCTCTTGCAGCGGGTTTTTGCTGCGGCAGACAATGAAATCGGGACTGAGGCCCAGGCCGCGCAGCTCCCGCACACTGTGCTGCGTCGGCTTCGACTTTTGCTCGCCCGTCGTCGACGGCTGGGGGATCTGTAATGCAACCGCACGAGCAAACAGGCAGCATAATGTGATTAGAGCAGTGGAGGAGATTGGAGGGGTGTCAAAGGGCGCCAGTGCTTTCTCAACACACATGGATGTGCACACAGACACAGACACAGACACACACACACACACACATCAGCAGGAGCAGCATACCAGGCTGACGTGCACGAGGAGAAAGTTGTCTGAACCGACGCGGAACTGGAACTGGCGGAACGCCTCGACAAACGGCATGCTCTCAATGTCGCCAATCGTGCCACCCAGCTGCACAGTGGCACCACATGGTGTGGAGACATGGTTTGAACACACGCGAGACAGCATGTGTATGCGTATCCAAATCAACCACAGATAGAGAGATAAATAGATAGATAGATAGATAGATAAATAGATAGATAGATAGATAGATAGATAGATAGATAGATAGATAGATAGATAGATAGATAGATAGAGACCACACCCACACACCCACACACCCACACCCACACCCACACCCACACACACACACCTCGATGATGCAGACGTCGGCTGATTCGCCATCGGAGTTCGGCCGCGCTGCCACGCGCTCAACCCAGTTCTGAATCTCGTCGGTCACATGCGGCACAACTGAAACCAGATGTGAACATGAAGCATGAGGCAGTGAGGGGAATGGAGGGCCGAGGAGCACGATGTTTTCGACAGGTGCGATAGCATTGAAGAAACAACAACAAAAGACAGAGGCACGCATCCACAGACACGCACACACAGACACACAGACACACAGGCACAGACACAGACACAGACACACACACACACACAGACACACCCACATAGACACAGACACACAGACATACACAGACACAGACACAGAAACACACATGCGCACCTTGAACGGTTTTGCCAAGGTAGTCACCACGTCGCTCCTTCTGGATGACATTCTGATACACCTTGCCCGTGGTGATGTTGTTGTCGCGGCACAGCGTGACGTCCAGGAACCGCTCGTAGTTGCCCAGGTCAAGGTCAACCTCGCCGCCATCGTCAAGCACATACACCTCACCTGCACAAAAGCACGCGCACAAGCACGCACATGTGTCGTGAGTGGATGGATTTAAATCGAGACATGGAGCCAGCGTGTCGAATACCGCAACGCCCACATGCATCACACCCAACGCATGCATTGCTGCTTGCATTGACTCACCATGCTCATAGGGGGAAAAGGTACCAGCGTCTGAATGTGTTCAAACAGGCAAGCCCCAGGATGACATGAACACAATGAGGTGGTGAGGTCAGAACGCACATGCATGGAAACTACGTGCGCGTGGATGCCCCCTCTTCATGGTTCTCCACAACAGCAGCCACTTGAAACTTTGGCTTCTCCATTCAAACTCTGCACCAAGTTGATGTTGTTGCTGCACTTTGCAACGCACCAATGTTGAGGTAAGGGTCGATCTTGATGGAGGTTGGACGCAGGCCATAGCCCTTGATGATGGTGCCGAGGGAGCTGGAGATGATTCCTTTACCGATGCCGCTAATCACGCCACCGGTGACGAGGATGTACTTCATCTGCTTGCCCTGAGTTGTCTTTGGACTGGACGACATGATGCTTTGTTTGCTTGCTCTGCTTTGCTTGTTTTGGGTTGCTTCAACCAACGGTTCGGTTGCTGAGACAGACGCGTTGTTTGCCTTGTGGCACTGCGGTGGCAGTTGCTGTGTGGTCCTGCTTTGCTTGCCTGCTTGCTTACTTGCTTCGTGGTGGAAATGGACCGTGCACGCACGCATGTGTGTGCGGGTGGTGGCAGGCAGCGGCTGCTTTGGCGCGGATTTTTCCGACAACGTGCGCGCTAACTTTTGTGGTGTCGCGGTTCGCCGTGAAATTTTACAGGTGCAAAACGCGTCAGACTTGAAAATCGAAATTTGGCGGCGGCACCACATTTTTTCGATTCCAACCAACCAGCAGCAGCCAACAACACAGCCAACAACAGAAACGGGCAACAACCACACACCCTTGTGTTCCACAGCCTCGCGCCAGAGCAAACACTCCCACACACACCCCCCCCCCACACTTCAGCGCCACCCCTTGCTCCTGCACTGCGTGTGCCCTTCTCGACACAGCAGTAACAACAGCAACGACAACAGCCATGCTGCGCGGTGGCAGCCAAAGACCCGTACGTCAAGTAACCGGGAAACGCCAGTCTGTGATTTGGTGTCTTCTGGTTGTGGTGATGATGGTGGCTGTGATGGATGGGAGATGGTAGCATGCACAGCCGCGCTGTAAGAGAGGAGGTGGGGGTTGATTTCTTCATGGTGCTCACTTTGTTGCGTTCTTTGCTTGAACTACCTGCTTTTGCTCGCACGATTAGATCAATGTGAGGGTCGTCACCATGGACTGCGAACTGGAGTTCGCCGTGCTCCCAGCAACCACAGGCAAACAGCTCTTCGATCAGGTTGGTGTGAGCCTGAGTGAGTGAGTGAGTGTATGTGTGTATGTGTGGGTGAGTGTGCGTGCGTGCGTGCGTGCGTGCGTGCGTGCGTGTGTGTGTGTGTGTGTGTGTGTGTGTGTGTGTCTGCTTCACTTTGCCAGTGTTCTCCCGCCCCCCGCATTTCTGCGTCGTTGTTGTCAATCGCCTCCACCCCCCCCCCTTTCCCCTTCTTATCCTGCCACCCTTCTCCCTTCTCACATCACGTTCACTTGCACGTGCAGGTTGTGAAAACAATCGGGTTGCGGGAGGTGTGGTACTTTGGACTGCAGTACATTGACAGCAAAGGCCTTGTCACATGGCTCAAGATGAACAAAAAGGTGTGCTTACAATCACTGCTGCTCTAGGCCGTGCTCTCATCCATCATCAACCATCCACAGCAGAGATCAATCCGCATCCGCTGTCGTACCCACATGTGCTGCTGTTGCCCTTGACCTCGTTCATGACATCTCATCCACCATTCTCACCATCGCCACTCAACACCACGTGTCACCACAGGTGACGGCCCAGGATGTGCGCAAGGAAACGCCGCTGCAGTTCAAGTTCCGTGCAAAGTTCTTCCCGGAGGACGTGTCTGACGAGCTGATTCAGGAGATTACACAGCGCCTCTTCTTCCTGCAGGTCAAGGAAGCCATCCTCACGGAGGAGTACTACTGCCCGCCAGAGACATCTGTGCTGCTCGCGTCGTACGCCGTGCAGGCCAAGTATGGCGACTACAACCCAGACGTGCACAAGCCGGGCTTCCTCGGCCACGAGCGCCTTCTCCCAAGCAGGTGTGTGTGTCTGTACGTGTGATGTGTGTCTGTACCTGTGTGTGTGTGTGTGTGTGCATGGGTTTGTGACAATATGAACAGCAACATGCATTTGGAGGCAGCAGCATGCATGTACGGTTATTTGAGCTGCGCCTGGTGGCTGCACCATGACCACGCCGAGTGCACGCATCACCGCGGTCAGCCCCGCCGCCACCGCATGACACACACCAGCTCACACGACGTGCCCTGTTTTCTTGAACACGGCTGCTTGACAGGGTGCTTGAGCAACACCGCCTGTCGCGGGCGCAGTGGGAGGAGCGCATCACCAACTGGTACGCGGAGCACCGCGGCATGCTGCGAGAAGACGCCATCTTGGAGTATCTCAAGATTGCGCAGGACCTGGAGATGTACGGCGTCAACTACTTTGAGATCAAGAACAAGAAGGGCACCCGGCTCTGGCTCGGGGTGGACGCGCTTGGGCTCAACGTCTACGAGTTCGAGGACAGGTGCGCTGTGGAGACTGTGTGTGTGTGTGGGGGGGGGGGAATTCCTCTCTCTCTCTCTCCGTCTCTCTCTCTGTCTCTCTCTCTCTCTCTGTCTCTCTCTGTCTCTCTCTCTCTCTCTCTCTCTCTCTCTGTGTGTGTGTATGTGTGTGTGTGAGGTCACATCATGCAACAGCGGCAAGCGTTGCCACTCTGTTCTATATGTGCGACTCACATTGTCCCCCTTTCCCTCATACACACACGTTCACACACACACACACACACACACACGACCAGGCTCACGCCCAAGATTGGGTTTCCCTGGAGTGAAATCAGAAACATCTCCTTCAACGACAAGAAGTTCATCATCAAACCAAACGACAAGAAGGCTCCGGTAAGGTCACGTGCATTTTTCTTTCTCAACCTGCTTGTCATCACGTGGCCATCCTCCTTGCCACCACTCACTATCACACACATACACACACACAACACACACAACACACACAACACGCACACACGCAGGACTTTGTGTTTTACGTGTCGCGGCTGCGCATCAACAAGCGCATTCTCGCGCTGTGCATGGGAAACCACGAGCTCTACCTCCGCCGCCGCCGCAGCGACACCATCGAGGTGCAGCAGATGAAGGCGCAGGCACGTGAGGAAAAGGCCCTGCGCCACGCTGAGCGCGCACATCTCGCGCGGGAGAAGCAAGCACGCATGGACGCCGAGCGTAAACGTGCCGAACTTGAAAAGCGCGTGAAGGAGTACGAGGCGGAGGCGCGGCGGGCGATGCAGGCGCTGGCGCAGTCTGAGAAGACAGCACGCGACCTGGAGGAGAAGATGAAGAGGGTTGAGGCCGAAGCAGCAGAACGCGAGCGACTGCGATTGGAGGCGGAGCGGTTGAAGCGGCAGGCGGAGGAGAGCATTGCGCAGATGCGGTCGTCCCAGACGGCGTCGGAGGAGGAGAAGAGGATGATTCTCGCCCGCACGCGCGAGGCCGAGGAGAAGGCCAAGCAGTTGGAGGCGGAGGCAGCGAAGCGGGAGAGGGACGCAGAGGACCTGCAGGCTGCGCTCATGGCTGCGAAGAAGCAGCAGGTGGAGGACGCAAAGGCGTTGGTGAACGCGACATCAACAGACAAATTCCACCTCATGGAGGCAAACATGAACCCAGACGCAATGCAGCACTCGCAGGAGCTGGGTCGGCCTGCCAGCGACGCGGGCAGCAGCAGCAGCAGCAGTGGCGTTGGCGCCGGTGTTGGTGTTGGTGTTGGTGCTGGTGTGAGCGGAGGTACAGAGGTGCGGCGCGGGGTGTACACGGCTGGTGTCCAGGCGGGGCCAACAGATTTGAGTGCAGGGGACGGTAAGGGAGGCCCATCGTGGGAGGTTGGAGATCGCGACGCCATTGCGATGAAGAACGACCGGATCCGCCAGCAGCTCGAGGTGCGCATTGTGTGTGTGTGTGTGTTTGTGTGTCCGTGTGTGTGTGTGTGTGTCCGTGTGTGTTTGTGTTTGTGTGTGTCCGTGTGTTTGTGTGTGTGTGTGTGTGTGTGTGTGTGTGTGTGTGTGTGTGTGTGTACACGTGTGTGTATGCACCTGCGTACATATATGAGCGTGCGATGCAAAGGACACCTGTGTGGCACTCCACCCCATAACCTGCTCACAACTCCCCCTTCTTCCACACCAACCAGAGCCTTGGTGCGGAGCTTGATGCGGCCATGGATCCAGAGAAGGTGAGCGCGTTTGACAAGCTGCACCGCCTCAACAAGTCGCAGGGCAGGAACAAGTTCAAGACGCTGCAACGCATTCGCGCCGGAAACACACGCCAACGCATCCTTGACTTTGAGAGCATGTAACCAGCAACACGGATACGCATGCGTGGCTGTGAATGTGTATGTCTGTTTTGGCTGCGCATGTCCTTTGTCTTTGCGTGTGTGACGCCGTGTTTGTTTCGTAAGTATGCACCTGTGGATGTATGTACCTATGTGTGTGTGTGTGTGTGTGTGTGTGTGTGTGTGTGTGTGGTGCATGTTTGTGGTGTGCGTGTGTGTCGTTCTTTGTGTGGTTACATTTCTCCTTGCTTGCTTGTTCGTGCGCGCTTCCGGCTGTTTGTTAGTTTTGCTGCCTGGTTGTCTTTGGTTCTCTCCTTTTTGTTGTTGTGTCCGGATTCCCTTGCTGCTTCTTCTTCTTCTTCTTTTACTTGGTCGCACGTGTTCATGTCAATCAATACCTTCCAATTCCAAGCAATGTGCACATGTGGCAGCTCCAGCCAACCCCCAACATACAGTCACACAAACGTAACACAACACAAGAAACAAGCACTCAGCTGTGCTACTTTGATGGCAGTTGCTGCAGTTGTGCGATGGTCGGGAAGAGGCTGAGGTCGTCGTGGTTCGAGTAGAGGTGCTCACACAGCGCAAACAGCATGGTCACCGTGCGCCACTTCTCTGCGTTTGCCTGAATAAACGCCGCCGCCTGCTTGAACGCCAGCAGCCGCCGCGGGTGCGTCTTGTGTTTGTTTGGCGGCCACAGCGACATGCGGTCCTGTGTCACAGACAGTTGGAGTGGAACGACGTGGTGCTCATTTGATGGTCCGCGAATCAGAAACACCACCCCGAACCACCGGGCCTGGCCAGGCGGCGCAGGGCTCCTGGTGCAGCGTCATCGTCGTCGTCGTCGTGGTGGTGGAAGGAAGAGAACGCAATGGCATCCATGGGTGAAATGAGTGAAGTGCCAAGGAGGGACGAGATACATTGACCACACATGTGGTCAAAGAAACGCACGCTCAGATGTACAGCAGGTACGAGGAATCGCAGCACACACACACACACACACACACACACACACACACACACACACACACACACACACACACACACACGCAGTGACATGCGCATAATACAGCAGCGCACCTTGCGATGGCAAAGCAGTCTGTGTCGCCATCGGTCGCAAAGACGATGCCGGCTGGTGGCGTCACGCACAGATCGATGCTGACGGTCGCGACGAGTGAGCAGTCACGACGCATGTGAGATGCTGCTGCAGGCACATGAACAAGCGGCCAGCGCGCGCACACACACACACCACATACACGCACGCATACTCCTCACCCAGCGTCCATGTATCGGCAGACGGAGAGGACGTCGGTGACCTGCTTCATGGGCAGAAGCAGAAGTTTCAGGAAGAGCGATGCAGCTGCCTCCGGGAATGGCGGGGCGGCAACCTGGAACACACACACACACACACACACACACACACACACACACACACACACACACACACACACACACACACACACACACACACACACACGCACACACACACACACACACACGACACATTCATTCAACCGCGTACAATGAGGGAACGAATGATTGATTGAATGAATGAATGAGCGGTTCCAAAATCAAGGTGCAGCCGTATCAGCCATTGGTAAATCACGCACGGTGGTTCGCACACAAGATCACAACACAACAACACAACACACGCACCTTCTTGTCGATAATGTCTTGCAAGACCATGAGCATGTCTGAGGTGTACGAGGGCGACCCTTCATCAAACGACCACGACGCAACCAAGCGCGAAAAGTTCTCAATGACCAGCGTCAGTTTTGCTGGCGGCACATACATCTGCAGCGCTGTGGCGGTAATGGTGGTGGTGTTGCAAAGTACAGCACATGGTCATGTTAGGTTGGGGTGGGAAGGGGGCAGTCTGATGGCAATATTAAACCAGCTTGCATGTCGATTGCATGAACGTGCACAGACAGACAGACAGACAGACAGACAGACAGACAGACAGACACAGACACACACACACACACACGCACTACACACACACACGCAACACATACGCACGCACTACACACGCACACACACAAAAACAAACAAACAAACACACGCAAACAGCAGCAGTATCAAGCCCACACGCTTCAACGTACGAAGCAAAGGGTTCTCCCGCGTTGGTTGCTGAGTCACAGTGGCCCCGGACAGCTGATTGCACAGGCGAGCAAGACACTCGCACACGCCGACGATGCTCAGGTACCTGGTCAGCGCATCGCACTCGTCCCCGTCTCTCAGCGGCAACACGTGCTGGCGCGCCCGCACGTCCGCCATGACAACATTGCCGTGGATGGCAATGAAGCCCTTGCGCCGCTGCATCAGCCGCTGTGCCAGGTGCGCGATGAAGGGCTGGAGCCTAGGCATGGGATGCATGGGGCTGGCCAAGTACTGCACAGCCGGCTCCGTTCTAAACGCCGTTTGGAAGATGTCGCGCACGAGCACGGCGCCGTTGCTGCAGAACTTGAATTCGCCCACAAACGACTGGCGGTACGACACAAACACGCGGGAGAACGTGCGAGGGAACACCTTGAGGCCAAACCGCGGGCCCGTGAACATGAGCCGCAGCGTGGGCTGGATGGACGCCAGTTTGAACAGCAAAATGGACAGCCCGTGCTTGCGCTTGTTGAGCAGAAACGTGAACAGCGCACGCACGCGATCAAGTGTCAGCTCAACGTCCGGCCCAACGGCGCGCGGGCAGCGGTGCGAGACATCAAACTCCTGACGGGAGTGTTGCCACACAAACCGCATCAGCACGAGCAGCTGGGGCTCCTCCTCCGCTGGCGGCGATGGTGGCGCTGGCGACACGGCACTGCCGGATGTGGGCAGGCCGGCAGTTGTGATGTTGCCCAGCACGCCATCGTGGCCGCTGGTGGCAGACGCTGCTGCTGTGGCTGCGTCAATGGCAACGGAGGTGGTGGTCGTTAACGCATCGCCAAGCACGGCACTGCTGCTGTTGACGTTGGTATCTCCTCCTCCTCCTCCTCCTGCACCTGCGCCCGCGGTTGCACCTGCTGCTGCTGCTGTAGAGGACGATGTTGGTACCACCTTGTCTGCGTTTGGTTTCCAGTGCACGCCAATTTCCAGCCCGTCGGCGCCAAACGAGTGCAGCGAGAGCAGCTTGTGGTGCGGCAGTGATTCGTCACGCAGCATGCACACCGTCTGCAGGAACTTCATGTGTGAATACCACGGCCGCTGCAGCGCATCCAAGCACCTGCGTGCGTGCGTGTGTGTGTGTATGTGTGTATGCGTGTATGAGAGAGTGTGTGTATGAGGGTTGTTGTTGTTCAGGTGAGTATGAGCGCAGTTGCACATGTGAGAAGCGGGACAGGTGATGACAGGCAATGCTCCACCATGCATGCAGCCAAGACGACCAACCCAGCAGGGGTGAGGCTGGTTGCGGTGAAAGTGCCTGCAGCCCAATCGAAGCGGCCCTTGAGAGCAAGCGAGTCGTTGTCAGCCACGGTCTGGCGCTGGTGCAGCCACGACGGCAGCCGGGATGTGTCCATGGCAATTTGCCACCGGCTGCGCAATCGGGTGTGAAGGTGATGGTGACGTTGAAGGAACACCGCATATGAGTACATGGGCCTGAAGAACTGGCACCAATGCGTGCTTGCTCGCACACACACACACACACACACACACACACACACACACACACACACACGCAGACGCATATGCGCACGTATACATACAGCGCAAAGAAGCGTTCTCACCATATCCCAGAGGCTGCGCAGTGCAGGTGTGCAGACTTGAGGGGAACGAGCGGGGAGGTGGCGAGGTTGAAGATGCGGAACGTCACGCCCGTCTCCAGCAGCGACCACGACTGCGCATCGCCTGTGATGTGCAGCACAATTTGTTGGTTGTTGAAGGGAAGGGTGTGAGAGGGAGTGTGAGGGACAAAGAGTATGGGCTGTGGCAGCTGGTGTTTGAAACAGGAGGGCGGCAATAATGTGGTGAGGGAAACACAAGCGAGACGGCAAAGGAGACAGCAAAATGGGTGGAATGCGTGTGTCGTTGTGTGCGCTTGCTTGCTTGCGTGCTTACTGAGGGAGATGAGTGGGGAGTGACGGAGACTGTCGCTTCGCAGCTGTCGTGAGTCGAAGGCAGACATCCACAGCGCACACACCATCATGTGTGAGGCGTCAACAACAATGTAACACAAACAGTAATCGCATCATCACACACAACAAACACACCTCCAACATATACACACACAGGCACACGCATACACGCCACACACCTGTCGTGATACGCATGAGAGGAGCATTGCAAAGCGCGTCACGGCGAGCTGGCGCTGCAGGCGCCGCTGCTCAAGTTCGCTCCTGGTGGCCGGACAGGTAAAGGAGAGAAAGACAAGGGAGAGAGAATGTGTGAGTGTGTGTGTGTGTGTGAGTGGTTATGATTTTAAGTGTAGGTGTACGTGAGAATATGTGAGGTTGAGAGACATACACACACACAGACAGACAGAAAAGACAAACAGACAACAACACACAGGCAAGCCGCGGCAACAACGATGATGAAGATGATGCGACAGGCGCCAGCAAGCAGATAACATACCAATTGAAGCGCGCATCTGCCAACCCCTGCTGCTGCTGTTGGTGTTGGTGTTGGTGTTGGTGTTTGTCAACAAGAATGTCCATGACGGTGTCGACGCGAAGAGCGCCCTCCATCTCGGCTGCCTGGCAGATGCGATCCCACCGCCGCCCCTCCGCTTGCCGCATCTCGCACGTGCTCATCCGCAGCGCACTCGCTACAACCGCCCGTGCAGAATCGTACACACGCAGCACAGCCGGCGCAGGCGCTGTTGTTGATGACGGCGCCAGCGACGAGTGGGTGGCGCCCGCGGATGTTGGTGTCTGCGCAGGTGTGTTGCCACGGCTCGGCGCAGAGAGACCAAGTGACGTCGACGACGATGGTGTCATGCCACCGCCGCCAGATGCAGGCGAGCTCGTGCTGCCTGCGCGAGCGCTGTTGGTTTTGGCGTTTGTTGCTAGCATGGCGGTGGCGACGGAGGAGGATGAGGACATGTGCGGACTGGTGGCGGTGTGGCCGGGGAAGGAGGCAGCAACTTCGTACGGTGCCTCAATGTGACACGCGAGCATTCGCACGCGCATGGACAGCGATGCAGACACAGACAGCAACTGTGTTGTATGTGTGTGTATGTGTGTGTGTGGATGGGGAAAGCGGTGAGATGAAGTTGCGGCTAACGGAGATGCGCACACAATGATACACACACACACATACACACTTATACACGCGCTTGACTGATGTACAGAGCGTAAGCATTGCTCAAGCATGCAAACAACGCCAGTGGTAATCAGTGAATGCTGCAACCACGCACCAGGGCGTGGCCGGGGTAGTCGAGGAAGATGAAGCAGCGGGAGAAGGCAAGCGTGTCCGCATCCAGCACGTGACTCAGCCCGCCAAGAGACGTCTGGCGCATGAGCATGCGCGTGTGGGTATGCGTGTGTGTGTGTGTGTGTCAATGCGTGTGTGAGTATGCGTGTGTGTCAATGAATAAGCACACCCAGTCGGTGCATGTATGTGTGGGTGCATTGTGGGGTAAGAGAAAGTAGGGCAGCCGCATATGAGCAACACTTGGCCCATGCCACGAACGCTGGTGCTGCATGCACATGAACATCAGCACAGGCACTCACCATCTTGACTTCTGTCGCAAAGGAAGAGGACGCAATGCGACGAATCACCGCATCCAATACGCACGTCCTCCTGTGCATGTGTACATGTGTGTGTGTGTGTGTGAAAGCTGACTTGAAAAGATGCGCACTTATTGCTGTGCACGTCAACGCTGACATCCAGCACACACGCAATCACAAATGCAATGAAACGTACATGGCCGCATGCATGCAGCTTGGCGCCTGGAGCGGATCAAAGTTGATTGCCTGCTCAACGGCATGGAGATCTGTTGCCTGCAGGCACGTGGTCAGGAACAGGCGCCCAGAATCCGGACACACGCGAAGCGATAGCCGCTCCTCCGTTGGGGTCAGCGTTTCCAGCGCTGTAACGTCGGGGGATGAGGGTGATGATGTGGTGCCAAGCGAGGGACCGCTGTCCTCCGCATCGCCGCTCTTCATCGCAGCAGCGGCGGCACTGGCTGCTGTGGCCTCGACGCGAATGGGGAACGTGACGTTCACACACATCGCATCATCAGCAACATCATCATCATTGTTGCCAGCACCGCCATCATCATCTGCCACATCGTGCCATCGCGTGTCCATCACGCCACCGCTTCGCCCTTCAGACCTCGTGCCCATCCTCCACAATGACAATGGTTGTGTTGCTGCTGCTGCTGCTGTTGTTGTAGCTGTAGTTGTAGTTGCTGCTGTTGGTGTTGTCGGATCTTGTGGCGCTGGCCCAAAGGAGACCATCGCTGCGCATGACGCAACAAGCGCGCTTGCCGCCAGCTGCTCGCGAATGCTTGCAAGCAAGTGATGTGACAGGCGACGCTGTACACAAGTCAGCAGTGCTTGCATATTTGGCGATCGCCCCTGCTCCGTGTGAGTGAATGTGTGTGTGTGTGTGTGTGTGCGTGCGTGTGTGTGAATGTGTGGGTGTCTTGCAGGTGCAAGCGAACGCAAGATCCAACTTCCAGCACATACACACACACATACGCCACACATACGTCACATACAGGCAAAGCAGCGCGAATCATAATGCCAACATGACAGTGACACGGCCCCTCACCATGCACGCGTCGTAATCGCTGCCGTCCATCCCAACAACTGGTGTCGGCTTCACGTCAATGTAAAAGTCAAAACTATCGTACACTGGGGGCATGGCTTCATTGTTTGCGCCCTCATCAACACCACCACTGTTGTCACCACTGTCGTCGCTGGTGCGGTTGGCGTGGTTGTGGTTGGCGTGGTGTCCTCTTGCCTGTTTGCTGCCAGTTGTGGGCGTTTGTGGCCGCAGCGGACTCACAATCTCAAGCGTCGCGCTGGCCCAGCCCTCCACTCCACCTCCTCTCGACGACGATTGTGATGCAGGTTGTGTTGACCCGGGTGGTGGCGCTGCGCCGGCTGCTGCCTTTACCAGCGCCAACCACGATGATGATGATGATGATGATGATGATGACGATGGTGGTGATGACGACTGGTTTCCATCGAGTTCATCATACGACTCGACACGCGACACGAGTCGCTTGAACTCCGGCCAAAAACCTGAAGAGTACATGTGTGCGTGTGTGCGTCAAAGTGTGTGTATGCATCATTATGTGTGTGTATGCATCATTGTGCGAGTGCATGTGATATGTGCGTGAGTGAGTGAGTATGACATGTGTGTGTGTGTTGACATTCAGCAAGGGGCTGCGGATGAATTCAGCATTGACGTACTCAGTTTGAGCGATGAGGGCGAGGATGACGCGTCGACAACAACCGACGAGCCCCACTTCGTCCTCTGCAGCGCCTCCGCCTGAACACACGCACATACACACACGCACATACACGTACGCACACACACGTACACACACACATGTGCAACAGAAGGAATTGAGCTCAAGAAGCGTCGTTTCGTTCAAGACACGCAAACATGCATCAACACACACACATGAACACGCGCGCACGCATTGATACACACACACACACACACACAGCGGCGCAGAGCAGAGCATGCAGCGGCACCTGTGCAGCCATGGTGTTGAGCTGCAACGAGAGGCAGAATGTGTGGATGGCGGCGCAGCAGCGGGAGAGGGGCTGGTCCCGCGTTGTGTCCAGGATTCCTTTCAGCAGCCGGCGCAACCGCTCAATGTGCGGGCTAGTGACGAGCCGCTCGCACGACGCAGCTGTGGTCACGCGCGCACGCACAAGCAGTGTGTTGTGTGTTTGTGTGTTTGTGTGTGTGTGTGTGTGTGTGTGTGTGTGTGTGTGTGTGTGAGTGTGTGAGTGTGTGTGTGTGTGAGTGTGTGTGTGAGGTACAAGAGGGCAGCGAAGGTGTACGCACAGTGACCACAACAATAACAGCAGCAACCATCACCATCACCACCACCAATAGGGCAGTGCCTGCACATGGCAATTGCACGCACGTGCTGCGTGTGCGTCGAGGCGCCACTCATCGCGAACAAATACGTCCACCGTGAGCAGCCGCCACGGCGACGTTGCCGAGTTGTTGTCAATTGTAAACGCCATGCTGTACAGCCCGCCACACGTCAGCGTCAACCGGCCCTTGCCTGTGTGTGTGTGTGTGTGTGTGTGTGTGTGTGTGTGTGTGTGTGTGTGTGTGTGTGTGTGTGTTGCGAGAGATGCTCATTTGAAAAGGGAAAGAGCACTTCCAAGTGACATGTGCCAGCACACGTGCGCCTGCAAGCAACCACGAGCACCAAGCAAGCAACCACCACCAGCAGCAAAACCGCACCGATGGTGACGGCGGAGAGCCCGCGTGGGGCCGGCTCGTCGGCCAGGCGTCCGCGGATCTGCATGTGGAGCCACGACAGTGCGCGGTCGACGTCGCTCTTCAGCAGCGGCGGCTCCGGCAGCAGCAACTGGTTGTGTGTGTGTGTGTGTGTGTGTGTGTGTGTGTGTGTGTGTGTGTGTGTGTGTGTGTGTGAATGAGGAATGGGCGTGCTTGGTCGCGCAGACAGTGTTAGGTGCTGAAAATGTTGCACAGGGCTGCAAACCTCGATGTTTCGTGGCATCCGCGGGTACTCCCCAGACCCGAGCACGTCAACAGCGTGCGGCACGTCGTAGCTGGGAAGCCTGAGAAGCAAGTAAAGCATGCACAGCATGCAAAGCCGTTAGGACAAGATGGCATGGTGGGGGATAAAGGAGAGTGTCAAACCAATGAAAGCAGCAGCCATACGCACGACACATACAGCAGCATGGCGCGCACGCTAAACCAGGCCACGCGGACCCCAACCGCGCAAACAACAACACTGCAACGACGTACGTTGCCATTGCCATGGACTCTACATGCCCATGCAGCGCATTTGCAGTCTCCAAGACGGTGAGATGCTTCATGTGTGTCGCTTGCACCAGCGTCTGTCACACCCAACACACACACACATACATGTACCACATGACAGCGCACGACGCGCATGAATAGAACAGTCAGTCATAAGCAGGCGAGCGGGATCGAGAGCGACAGGAATGGGTGGCATGCGTGTGGTGTTGCAAGTCCGGCTTGCTCATGGCGCAATGTAGAAGTGAAAGCAGTGGTTTGACACGCACCGCAACGTTGTCGGCTTGCCCGCTCTTGGAGAGCCATCGAAGTATCACCAACAGTCGCATGAACCGTTGTCGAGCCTCGTGCAAGTACCGCATCAACTCTTGTTGCCTGCCCGTGGTTCAAAAAGCAGGGCGAAGCCACAACCGTTACAAACGTTTTGGAAGAGCACGCGAGCTTACACGTCGCTTCACGCTCGCCGCTCATTCAGCTCTGCCGCCACCCACTTCAAGCTCCAAACAGTCCGACACCATGCTGATTATCCACACAAACGTCAGTACGGGTCCACGCAAACAGGCTGCGATACACAGCACAAACGCACGACACACCCAACAAAGAAGGCACCCTACCGCTGTCTCGCCGGTGCCACGGTCTCTGTCATGTCTGCGAGGTCCTTGTACGCTCGCTGGACAATCATGTCCACCAGCAAGCGAAGCGGTACAGCGTCCATGCTGCTGGTGTGGAAAGAAGCAGGGGAAAGCGAGGACGGGGGTTTCCGAGCACAGTCGAAAGCGACCGCCACCACTGGCCGATAGTCACTGCAATTTATGGTGTCGAACAAATTTGCCTTGTGTGTCTCTTGTGTTTTGTGTGTGTGTGTGTGTGTGTGTGTGTGTGTGTGTGTGTGTGTGTGTGTGTGTGTGTGTGTGTGTGTGTGTGTGTGTGTGTGTGTGTGTGTGTGTGTGTGTGTGTGTGTGTGTGTGTGTGTACGCTGCTCTGTCTCCGTCACACACGCACACACCCTCTTTGTCTGTCCCCCCTTCTCTCTCTCTCTCCTTTTGTCTCTGTGTGTATTCGGTTGACTCTGTCATGAGGACAACACAAAGTTTGGGTCTGTGTGTATGAAATGCGCGTGGGCGCGCGGGTGGATGCGACCATTTTAGTCAAATGCGCCGTCGCCATCGTCCTCTGTCGACGCCTCCATAATGGGCATCACCGGTTCAGAGACGGGAATCGTACGCAGCAGCGGCGTGCGCTCGGAGGAGCCACCACCACCGCCACCGCCACCGTTTGTTATCCCCGTATCCACAGACACGGCGTCGCTGACCTGTATCGCGCCTGCCGCCCGCACGGCCGTAGCCGTTCGCGATATCATTGCAGATGACGACGCGCGCTGTGTGCTCGATAGTCGCCGCCGGCTCGCAAGAATGCGCCTGGTGGGCGGTGGTCGTCGTCGTTGTCGTGGTCGTGGTGAGGGGTGGTGGTGGTGGTCGTGTTGCGTGAGTTAAGAAAGGGAAGGAGCAACCCCCCCCCCCCACTCACACACACACTCACTCACACACTCACACACACACTCACACACATATACACACGCATACGCACACACACACACACACACGCATACGCACACACACACCACCTTGCATCACGCACCTTGCGACGTCGACAAACTGGTCCGTCTCGTCAACAATCTCTGCGCCCAGCAGCTCCTCAATCACGTCCTCAAGCGTCAAGATGCCAATCACCTGCAGTAGTCGGCGTGGTGGTGGTGGCGGCGAACGCGTGTGATGAGACGCTACAGTGAGCGAATTGAGCGAGCAATGAAGCACAAACATGTCTTCGTCGCACAAGCGCGGAGGTCATTCCAGTGAAAACACTCACAATACATACACACACACATAGACACAGGCGCACATGTACGCACATACGCATGTACACGAGTCGCACACCTCTCTGTCTTCGTTGAGGACAGCACCAATGTGCGACTTGCCCTCCCTGAACTTCTTCAGGCACGCGTAGAGGCCCATATTGCGCGGGAATGGCGTCAGCGCGTGCTTGCGGATGTCTACAGGCGGTAGTGGTGGTGGTGGTGATATTGGTGGTGGTGGCAAAGCGTCAATGAAAGCGGCAGAAAGGTGTCCATGAACAATACAGGGATCGTTCTGTGTGTGTGTGTGTGTGTGCGTGCGTGTGTGTATGTGTGCGTGTATGCGCGCGCGTGCGTGTGTGTTCTGACCGGCGATGCGGACATTTGAGTTCTTGTGATATTGGATGAGCGTCTTTGTTAGAATAAAGTGCTGTCGGCGAGGAACAACGGGAGCAACCGTGAGGACGTGAGCACAATGTCAGTTTTCCACGACACAGAGGTCAAAGCACGCGCACGCAGATCCAAACACACACAGGCACGAACACACACGCGCGCGCGCACGTACATAGACAAACACGCACACACAACCAAACACAGCCACACCCATATACAACTCAGCACGTACCGATGTCTTGTGGCGGGTGTCCTTGAAGACAGGAATGCGGCTGTGCCCGCGCTCGAGAATCTCTTCAGCGAGCGCTGTCGAGTACACGCGGTCCACGTGCAGCATGTAGATGACGTCCAGCGGCTGCATCGCGTCCTCCGCAGTCTGCAACACGACAAGTAGTAGCAGCAGCGGTAGGAGGTGGAGAGATGGTGGAGGTGGAGGAGGTGGAGAGGTGGAGGTGGAGGAAGGGGTTGAGATGGGAGTGCACGAGGAATGTGTGACGCGTGAAGGGGAGAAGAAGAAGAACACGCGTCGGTGAGCATTGGAGGCTGTCGACCTTCGCATAATACCTGAGCACTGACACACATGCACGCACACACACACACACGCACACACGAACAAATTTTGCATGTGCGTATGCAGGGCCGACCTTTGAGTTGAGTTCGAGCGCTCCCTGGATGATGGCAACTTCCTCGCTCGTCAGCGGCTCCTCGTTGTCCTCGTCGTTCTGATGCAGTGGACGGGAGCCATCGAGGTTGTGAGATGATGGTGATGGTGAGGTGGTGATGGTGGGAAGTGGTGGGAGGTGGTAGTGATGGTAAAGTGGGTTGCAGTGCAGGACCCACGCCGGGCCGCGTGCGAGATGTGCACGTTGTGTACTGGCTGTGACCGTACCGTGGTGTGAATGTTCACCAGGACGCCGAGTTCCGCACGGCGGAAGAACGCAGAGTGATGCTCGCCTGCCAGAAAACCGAATGATGTACGTGAGTGGTGATGCGGCAGCCACACACACTGGTCTTGCCATCACATGCCTACTTGCATACCCTCATGTACTTGCGTGTACAGTCGCACACACACACACATTCTCTCTCTCAACACACAAACAAACAAACTCAACGCACGTGCTCTGACACTCAGCACACCCAACATTCCCTCAAACACACACACACACACGCACAAACACATGCTCTCACAAACAAACAAACAAACTCAACACACCTGCTCTGACACTCAGCACACCCAACATTCCCTCAAACACACACACACACACACACACACAACACACACGCAACACACACAACACACACACAAGCAGCAGTACAAGCAGCGCACCGAGGATGAGGTCGAGGAGTTTGGAGAGCGGCCAGCCAATGGGCAGCATCACCAGCATGAGCAGCGTCACCATCGGTGCAAAGAACGCGCCAATCGCTGGCGCACAGTGAAGATGGACGGATGGACGCGTGAGGTGAGGTGTGGCGAAACACACAGACAAGGCAGGGCGACGCAGTGAGTGGCATGTCCGCCGACTGAATGCTGACATGAATGACGAGGACGTGAACGGCGACGGCACGGACGATGACGGCACTACTGAGGACAATCGAGCAGCATGCGAACGTGTCATCTCGCCACCAAGTGCGTGCAGTATGCTGCCTCACCAAGGCCATATTTAGAGCAGAGGGCCTGTGGAATGACTTCGCCAAACATCAGCACTGCCGTGACGGAGATGATGATGGCAATGTACTCGGGCACAAGGTCATCCAGAAACAACGGCAGCGACTCGTTCACAGCCGCATTCGCCAACTGCAAACCCAAGGCGGAGGAAAGCGTGAACAACCAAGCAACAAGGAGAAGCAGAAATTGCACCAAGAACAAAAGGCATTCAGACACTGCAGCGATGTAGCGCATGGGTTTGGGCGCGTACACACACACACACACACGCACAAGCCACACGCACACATGCATACACGACACGCCACAACACACACAAGCTACGATGCTTACAAGTAGAGTGACGAGGAGCAAGTGATGTCGCTTGACAAGTGGTTTGATGCGCCTGGCATACTTTTGTTCCTCTGGTTTGCCTGCCTCGGAGAGAACCTGCAACTGCGTGCTGTCCAAGCTGAGCAAGCCCAGCGTCAGGCCGCTGAAGACACCCGCCAACAACACTAACGCTGCAGAAATACCTGATGGGTGCCCATGCCGTTGTCGACGAACAAGGGACGAGGGAAGAGTGGCAAAGTTGCAATGGCGCAAAGCAATACAATACGGCAGGTAATCACAGTGAGGCAGCCGGCAAGGCAAGCATCGGTGGTTCACAAGCACTAGAAGCGTGATCAATCACTCGTGGCAGAGCACTGAACGGCAAGCGCAACAACCACATTTCATTCGCCCTCAACACACGGAACAAATACACATGCACACACCAATGTTGACGAAGAACTCTGCAGATCCCGGAGTCAGGTAGTGTGATGTTTCTTGAGTGAAACGGATACCATCACACACCACCGTGGTGAGGTTGTTCGTCGTCGTGCACGTCACGTTCATTTCCGCCGGCGTTCGTGCGTGCGTGTGGTATTTGTTGAGCGGCGGCGATCAGGTTGTGGCGCAAGTCGGGAAGAGTTGTTGAAGACGTAAACAATTTTCGGTAGGACCAAACGCCAACAACGATGCTGAAGCGCGAGTGGGTGTGTGCTGATGATGGTGGCACTGATGTCGGTGTGCAGGAGGGGTTGAAGGAGATGCCAACAAAACAGGAAGAAGGCACAGAAGAGGCGCAAGACAACAGCAT